GTGCATTTCAGTGTGTGTGTGTGTGTGTGTGTGTGTGTGTGTGTGTGTGTGTGTGTATAAAAAAAGAGTGAAAAAAACAATTTCCCCCTAGGGGATCAATAAAGTATTTCTTTTTCTATTGCTTCTTCTTCTTCTTCTTCTTCTTCTTCTTCTACTCTTCAATGCACTTTGGGGAGATGCATTCTTTACTATAAACACCAGGGGTCAGTATTTGATCATACCAAATATTAGACCTGTTAAGAATGCAGGACACATTGACTTGTGTATGTTGTGATATTCATTTATGTGTTTTTCTATTCGTCAGGAACAGTGCAACTGACTGTGGTCAGAATGATACCTGCACAGAGTTTGACTCATTGATTACAGTTAGACACATTACATTTATATTACACATTACACAAGTCGCATGGTGATACAATAAAAAAGGCCCAGTGCAGCATCATTGGGCAAGATAGAGTGCAAGAAACATTCACCGAGCTCTAAGTTTGTTGACCATCGCACAACTTAAAAGCTAAAAAACATGTCTTCCACTGAATTGTCCAGGTGACAACAAATTTTTGCTTTTCCTTTTTTTTTAGATTGCACATACACTGTCATATGTCACACTCCGTTAACAATGAATGAAAAGCAATGAAAACTGAAAGTTATCTATAACCTGTTCTGATCTGTGACATTACATATAGGATTAAGTATGTTAGTCAAACTGAACTGTGCAATTTAGGATGCAGTGATCCACAAGATGTCGACTGACCTATACTTTAACTCTAACTTGGTAGATGAGTGTATGTGTACATACAGTATGTATACAACAGAGGGTTGTACTTTCTACTGTTGACTATAAACAGTGTATAATATCTTAAATACTCTGTGGACTATCAAAGGAACTCGTCATAGTAAATTCGACCTGTTATTAGAATTACTACCAATCTATATCAGAGGAAAACATCACTGCATACAAACCTATCAGCCAAATTTCCACTTACTTTAATGAATGAAGATTACAATATAACACATCCATTCAGCAGTCTTATCGATAAAGGATGTACACACACACGCACTTACACACGCACACACGTATACACAACCAAAGAAGGAGATGGATACAGACTAAGACTGTTCATTCCCCAACAATTAATCAGGGGAATTGGCAGCCCTGTTGTGCTGCTACACCGGGGGTCCTGATTTCACAGCCAGCCTCCGTCACCACTGCGTCAGCACTGATGAGCTCAGCTTTACCGGTAGGGAGGGAGGGGGGAGGAGTTGGTGAACAGAAAGAGAGAAAGAGAGAGAGACTGAGAAAACACGTAGAGAGAGAGACAGGGGGAGCGGGAGGGAGGGAGGGAGAAGAAACGGGGTGTTGCCGCCTGTGAGACACACTCACGCATCACAGAGTAACAGCAGCAGGGCGAGGACAGAGCATCCCTCCATCTCTCTTTCTGGAGAAACAAGTCTGGCTCTTTTGAATTATTGAAGCCCCTACCGAAGCCCCGTGCATTATTCAACATAATCAAAGCCGAGATATCGCGGAGACATACCCCCACCTCGACATCAGGGGAGCGAGTCGGCCGTAGAGAAGAGAGCTCGGTGTGAAAGCAGACGGACCGTTTCAGCACCTCGGACAGCGACCATGGCTCCAATGGTGGAGGACGGAGCTCAGCTCGGTGAGTCCGACCCTCACTCATTCATTAGGACGGGAGGAAACAGGTGTGAATGTGTGAAAGGTGCTGCTGTTTTCACGCCAGTTGTTCATTTGTTACTTGTTAATTCTTTTTAAAACAATGGCAGTGCAGGCATGTTACAGTGGCCTGTGAAGAAAGTGGAAGTGAGCGGTGTTCAGTGTGTCGCCTCGCCCTTTTATACTCCATAAAACAACGTGTTTGGGGAGACTTCCAGCCTCCATTTTGCAGCTAGCTTAAGGGCGACAGCTAATTACCAGCAAAACTAACCAGCAGGGTGGAGGTGACATATATAGCTTTTTTTTTTTTTTTCGATATTAACATTAACAAACTTCATTTAATATTATAATTCGGAATTGAGTGGGTGTTACTACAGCACAGGTGAAGCCTAGGAAGCACCTGTTTGTTTTCTTAAATTCCTGTCGGTTCAGCAGCTCCCCCACCGCCCTCCCGTTGGCACATCCATCTGTCTGTTGTTGTTGCCTTGAAAACCAGTCCACCCAGGGCGTTGGGCTGAAATATTAATGCAAAGAAGGGAGAAAACAGTGTGTAGAAGTGCTGGGATGTAAAATGGAAATGATCTTACTTACTATCTCATTGCTCGCCCATTGTGAAGTCTGACAGTCGCTTCAGATTAGTCATTTTAGATAGATGCTATGCCTACAGCCATCACAGCAAAACTGCCTTACAGTACTTGAAATTGATATATAGGCATGATAATAATAATAATATATGTAAAATATAGCAAATTGTAATAATACATATTGTTTACATGTATTGTTTTTTGGGTTTCATAATGACAGTTATTCTCTTATATGACAAATTTAACTTCAAAGATTTTGCAGTACCGATTATGTGATCATCTAGATTCAGTAGATTTGATCAGATGAGAAAGATTTAAAAGACAAGTACATGAGTGATTACTACCTCCGCCCCCTCTCTGTCTTTGTATGGGTGTTAACCTGAGTGCTTTTCCACCGGCCGCCCACTTGAACTGCAGGAAATGGTCTGTGTTTCCTCCATTGAAATAGACCTATTAACTCTGACTGCATGAGAAGGCAGCATGATTGCTGTTGAGTCACAGTTCAACACCACTAAACAAAGAGTTGAAGCATTCAGTGGCAAATATCCCTGTAACATGTCTCCATAGTAACATTTCAGTGATACTATAGGTGACAAAAAGTGCCATTGGAAAGGAATTAGGTCTCTCAAGTACCACTACTGTTGGGAAGAAAAGAAGATTAAAACCTGCTGGCCATTTTCGAGCAAATCTTCCCTTGCAGTAGGAGGAATATAAAGAAAAATAATACAGGGCCTATACCAAATTTCTGGGTTATTATGCCATTCTTACAGATGGGATATCGGGGTTAGCCACCCTGCCTTTACAGTGGTGAGGGATACAATGCTTTGCTCTAAACAAATGAAATATAATCTAAGAATCTGTTATGCTATGTTACATCAGCTGGTGTTTGTCCTCTGTATCGACCGAATGATCCTGATGTTTCCTTTTTAAAGTCTGGTCGTCAGTCAAAAAAATCTTCCCTAACTTGTTTATATCGTAGGTCTGCATATCATCCACTGACATTGTCATCATAGTGATTGTACATTTTTCTCCATTTGTGCTGTTGCTCAGGGCTTGTTGCTTTTTCACGTCCTGCTTCTGAGTTCAGCCATTTTTATAAACCTGCCATTAAGAAATGAACCAGTCGCATAATGACGTGATGTCGCAGCAGTTCATTACTTACACCAGCTGTTTCCTGTTGATTTACTGAAGCCATGTTTGGAATATGAACATGCTACTGATGGTACTTCACCAGGGTTGAACAGATTGCCTTGTTTTCATCTCTCTCTCTGAGTCAAGACTGCAGCCTGCGTCAGTCAGACACACAAAATGGATTCAACTGCCTTAGTGCAACAATTAAATCTGTTGAGGTTGCGCAAGCTGCACAACTGTCTTATGTGTAGTCAGACCTTTTTAATGAAAGTTGTTTTCTTCCTTCTGCTCTCTCTTTCCTCCTCCATAGTGGCAGTGCCAGTAGGTGTTGCTGTGGTGAGTGTCTTTGGCCTTGTCTTCAGTGTGTCAGCCTTTGCATGGATCTGTTGCCAGCGTAAAAACACCAAATCCCAGAAGACACCTCCCTACAAGTTTGTGCACATGCTCAAAGGGGTCGACATCTACCCGGAGAGCCTCAGCGGCAAGAAGAAGTTCGCTGCACCTGCCACCACGACGACTAATGACAGCAGTAAAACTGACGTTAACGGGAACTGCCACACTACGTCACTAATGAGCCCGACCGGCACCGGTAAACTGGCGTCAAGTCCAAATGATTCCAGGCCGGCTCTGCATCTGGATCTGGAGAAACGGGATCTGAATGGCAACTTCACCACCAAACCATTTCATCACCACCACCAGAAGGTGCGGAGCTCCCCGGACCTGGAGCTGCCCTCTCCCCATGCAGGGTTCACCCAGCCTGGGGTGATGGACCGCCGTGACCTCCCTTCACCTTCCAGCACCCTCTCAAGCCAGGCACCCACCCCGGCTGTGGACAAGCCCCAGGGAGAGGAGAGGGAGGGTGGGCTAGGGACCCTCCATTTCTCCCTGGACTACCAGGCAGAGAGAAAGGCATTCATTGTCCATATCAAGGTACTGTATGCATTTAACCTGGTGTTTAGGTGTGTGTCTGTCTTTACAATCAGTTTTTTTTGTAGAAATGTGAATAAAAAGGGTTTTATACAGTCTTAATTTGACTTTTTGATCTAGGAAGCCCATGGCCTGACCCCAACGGATGAGCAGTCCCTGACCTCTGACCCTTACATCAAGCTGACCCTGCTGCCCGAGAAAAAGCACCGGGTGAAGACCAGAGTCCTGAGAAAGACTCTGGACCCCGCCTTTGATGAGACCTTCAGCTTCTACGGGATCCCGCTGGCCCGAGTGTCGGAGTTGGCCCTTCACTTCATGGTGCTCAGCTTTGATAGGTTCTCTCGTGATGAGGTCATCGGAGAGACCCTTGTACCTTTGTCCGGGATCGACTTATCAGAGGGGCGTGTCCTGATGAGCCGAGAGATCATCAAGAGGAATGTCAAGGTAAGATCTGGAACAATTCTGATGTTTGAACCCCTTGAATTCACGATTTTTGTATTTTTTCATCAGTTTTTTATTTGACAGCATGTAACACACTATATATATATATATATATTATATGACATCCTATATGTTACATATTTATTTTACGTAACAAACAGTTCCAATGACACTCAAACTAACCCCAAAATCACTTTAAATTCTAAAAATAATGCCAATAATGACTCATCATTATAACACTAGTGCCTGCATCATCCCTAAAAGCACTGCAACAAAGTGCTTCCACTCTTACAATATTAATCAGTACATAAATCAATATAAAATCTAATGATATTTAAATCATGGAGCTTTCTCTAACTCACCTAAATGCAAGTGCATTATATTATGTTTCTTGGAACCACACTGAAATCTTTCATGCTGCTCTCAAGTGTTAATTTAATCACATAATCTGCATCTCAAATAAAAGTTCTAAATGTGAATGTATGTAATATATTTTGCAAATGCATTAAAGCAAGCATTTATCTCTAGTTGGGCAAAAGGGTGCTCAAGTTAAATAAAGCCAGTGGGGAGAGCGGATAGGAAGTATATCCCTCTGTGGAGACATAGAGACAAGATCGGTTGCACCATTATGGATTTGAAAGCTGATACTGAGGTCTGGTGTAGTTCTTAAACGCTGTGAGTGTGGATAAGTGAAAGGCTTTGGTGTTTCTTTTTTTATTTGTGTCAGTTTTTGCTGCAGTTTATTCTCCTTTATAATCCAAATTCCTGAAGAGCTGATTATTCTGGAACAGCTGGAACATGTTTCCTCTTAAAATACCTGCTACTTAGCAAACAGGGTTTAGGCTATCGAATAATCTGAACTATGGTTCATCTTGTTTGATTTATTGAAGATCTTTATATACGGACGATTTGAAAGGCTATCACATGGATATTGTTACATTCCCAGTAGTGTACTGAATAGATGGAGTGATATCCACACCACACCCTTATGGATCTGTGGGCTGGTGGTCAATAGACTTGTGCTCCAGACTGGCTGTTCCTGGCAACTGTAAGAACCACAACTGTGCACATTTCCAGTAGAACGTTTTTTCTTTTAGAGGAATGTAGTACGTACTGTAGTATTAGTACCAGTTGTTAAGATGTGGACTGATATACTGTTCCGTAGTACTGTGACAGAAAATACCCACAAGTAAATATATTTCCTAAAAATGTATTGGACTTGGGTTCAGTACATTACATTCAGTGTATTGGTAAATTTAAAGGACGGAGTGAAAGATGATATCTCTATCCTTATCATAGCTCTGTGGTCTAGGATACAGCAGCTGGTACTAGATGGTTTGGCTGTACATGAGCACTTGTCCATTTGCAGGTGGAATGTGAGATGATATCAATGTAATTATAGATTTGTGGGCTAATATTGTACACTGCAGAGCTCTGCTAAAATGGTAGCTCTGTGCCAAGCAGGTGGGAGTGGATATGTTCGTGCACATTTCTACCTTCCCAGGAGGAATGTAAGCTATCTGTAATATCTTTTAAAGATCTCTGATATGATATAGTACTCTAGTGCTGGGTAATGTGACTCAGATTCTGAGAAATATAAAAGGATCGTTCCCTCTCAACAGAGCCCCTTTTGTATTTTTATCATCAAGAGGATATTACCTCTTAAACTATGTTCTGCTGGCTCTCTCCGCACTGACACTAACCGTGTTTTTTTTCAAATCCATTTCTCACTGGCGTCCCAGGAGAGACAAATCTCATAAACCTCTGCTGTAGGGTGGAGTCGGCTGTTTCTGAACACTTTTTTGGGCAATCAATAGGAAATTAGTTTTAGAATCTATGATATTGCTTTGCAGTGTGGATTCTTCGTCTGGACTCTTGTTGAATTTGACATTGGCAGGTGAAAAGAGAAAAAGGCTCAGCCTCTTTTACTGTGGTTATTTGGTGTGTATCAGCTGTACCTATTTAAAGTGAGAATATATAGGCACTAGTTTCCCTTTATGTAAAAATGAAAGTGCAAACAACCCTTTTTGATGGATTTACATGGCTTTACAGCATGCAAAAGAACAGTGGATCAAACAGAATAGTTTATTCATAAATACATCCACTGTTTAATATGTCCATGTGGTTATGTGTGTGACTTGCAATGAGACAATTATTGTAGGCTGAATTCTTTCAATATGAGCTGTCTACACTGTTCCCTCTGATTAGGAGCAGCCCTTTGCTAACAGGGTGGTGGCTCTCTTTGTCTGCGTGGCATAGATTGTGTCTCACTGCTTTGTGTGGGTACGCGTGTGTGACTGAGTGTGTGTGTATGCATGCTTAAGCACACGGCACTTCTTGGAATCAATACAGCATGCAAGCAGGCGGCGTAGCCATCGCCTTGTTTTTAACCCGGAAGATGACAAAAACAATAGAATAGAGAAGAATATCATTTTTGCATAGCCACTTATATAATGTGTGTACAATGTCCCAAGAGGAATGATATAGAAACACATCAGCAGCACAGTCACATCTGTATTTTCAGAGATCTAACCATCAGGTCAGGGGTAGAAGTTGTCTGCATGCTACTTCCCATTGCCATGGCAACCATGAGCTGAGGCATGACATCCCGTTAGGTGTGATCACAGCATCCAAGGCACCAACTCTCTTGGGTGTGGACCCAGACATGGATGTGTATGTGTACCGCAAACTGCAGAACAGTAACACAGTGGAAGCACTAATGCAGAGCAGATTGGGGAGCTTCTCAGTGACACGTTTGTGCTAGTTAAGATATGAGAGCACACCTCATAAGCAGGTGATAACATTTTAGTTGACAGACATTTGAAAGTCAGCTTCGACACCATTTACAGTGCAGGATTCACCACACAGCATTGATAATAGCTCATTATTTGTTAGGTTATTTATTACTACATACATTTTCCAATTGCCACGCCCTATTAGGTACTACTAAATACATATGCATTCTTTTGTTATTTACCTATAATATGAACACCACACCATATGAATCCACCTACCCCACCCTATATCTCCACAGCTAAATAAATCAGAACATTAATAATAAGCAGCAGTACAGTACTAAAAAAATAGATATATCAACAATTTACAATGTGTTAGGACAGAGATCTTCTTTGCATACAGCCTCTGTGGCAATCATGGTCAGTCAGCATAAGTGGAAGGTTCACTTTAGAGGTGAGAAATAAACGTGTTTTGGCTTGTTTGGTCTGCTGCCTTAAATATGATTGAGTGCGAGTTCGCGCCTGTTTTGGAAGCTGAGAAAAACGTCTCTTCTTCTCACGTCTCCTTTCACACCTGCCATCTCTTTTTGCACCTTTTTGTTTTGTTTTCACCCTTACTCTGTCCCCACACCACCTCTCACACATTAACCCCTCTCCTGTCTCTCCACAGAAGTCCTCAGGCCGAGGCGAGTTACTGCTGTCCCTGTGTTATCAGTCCACCACCAATACTTTGACTGTGGTCGTCCTTAAAGCTCGCCACCTGCCCAAGACTGAAAACAATGGACCTACAGGTAAATACACTTTTAGCTGAACATCTCAAGAAGCACACAGGCAAACACAAATGCATGCCTGCATGAACTTCCTTCACATAACCATAAACAGATGGGACCAAAAATCCTTTTGCTCTTCCTGCCACGCAGCCCAGACTACTTTGGATGCTGTGATAGTTGCCATAATGACACCGCCACCGCACTAAAGTAATCTGATCAGGATGTGATAGAGAGCACTTTAGTGACAAGCACACACACACACACACACACACACACATACACACAACTAAAGTGTTTACACAGCCAGCCTCTCTTGTCCTCATCACTAACATCCATCATTTCCGCTCTATCGATTGCCGTATTGATCTGGCTTAGGAATAATATGCCACTCTGCAGCCGCGGCAGGGATGGATATTCACCAAGGTTTTTTTTTGCCTCCGTCCTTACTTTTTTTATCTGCTCTTGTCATTCTTCATCTCTAGATCCATACGTCAAGGTGAACATGTACCATGGGAAGAAGCGGGTTTGCAAGAAGAAGACCCACGTGAAAAAATGCTCCCCCAACCCGGTCTTCAACGAGCTCTTTGTCTTTGATCTGCCCTCCAACGAGGGCCTGAGGGACACCAGCGTGGAGCTGCTGCTGATGGACTCAGACACAGGCAACTCACGCTGTCCCAACACCATCCTTGGGCGTCTGGTGTTGGGCACGTCAGCGGCAGGCACCCCGGGCGAGCACTGGAGGGAGATCTGCGACCACCCACGTCGCCAGATTGCCAAGTGGCACGCCATGTCGGAGGATTAGAACGCAGGGGTGTTGGTGGATTCTGTCGTCCATATCCGATCTGGTCTGACCACGAGAGGGATGGAGGGAGGATGGGCAGGATTTAACATCCCTGCTAGCCAGTACCCATTGGACTTTCAGTGAGGGTGGGTGGGAAACAAGGGGGAGGGGACTTTGATGTTGTGGGGAGGGTCATTTGAAGTGATGTCATCATCAATCAATCATTCAATCACTTATCTTTGAAGTTATTGGGGTTCAGCAGGGAGGGCGGGGTATGACAAAGGGAACCCCATAGCTTTAAATGATCCCAAAGACTGTCACAGAAAATCACCTGGTAACATGCAACATCATCTCCATGGCAACAACCAATTGTCACTGTAACCGTGTGCAGTGCAGAATGTCTTAAATGTCGCTATTACTCTTCTTCTTTTCTTCCTCTGCTCCGTCTTCTCCTTCTCTTTCTTCAGCTCTTCCTCCTATAAATAGTAACCTAGTCCATCATATGAAAACCAGAATGAACCACATCTGACAATGCTGTAAAAAATGTGGATTATTAAAGTTTATTTTATAACGACAATGTTTTCTTCATAAGGATGTAGATTGTTTTTATTTATGTTTTTGTTTTGTACTCTTATAGTTGATTTGTTGAACATGTTTTGTAAGTATAAGTGGTATTTCATATATCATTACTTAAGTACAAGAAAGCCTAAATTAGGTGGTTTGAGAAAAGACTGGAACAGACTGAGTGCATTGGGGACAGTTAACTGTGTATGTGAGTGTGTGCGTGCGTTTCGATATGAGAGTGCTTTTGCTGATACGACTGTGCGTGTGTGTATGGGTGCCCGTATGTGTGTCAGCTCTGAAGAGATGTGCGCACCATACTGTTTACTGTAGGTGTTTTGTCCCCCTTACTGTGAGCACAAAGACAGCTGAAGTGTAAATGTATGTACCTTACTATAAAATATGGCAAGTTCTGAGAAAGAAATTGAGTTTGTAGTCTTTATTTCATGAGTGTGTGGAGTTAATTGTTTGTGTGTGTGCATGTGTGTATTCAGAAGTGCATTATTACCACTAGAGGCATTTTAGCTCCTTTAGGGTTAATGGAGTAAACTGAGGTTAAGCTTAGTTTTGTTTGAACATATATCATTAATTCTAATATCTAGAATAGTTCTATCCAAGGTAAAAGCCGCTTTTAAAATTATAATACTACTGCGCAATCTGCGTATGAACGTGTGTGTCTGTGTGTGTCCTCACCTACAGCACCCTGGGGATGACATCATGGGGCCCCTTTCCAAGTTTGATGATGTAATAACTGCTGAGTGGCTAAGTGCTCCTGAATGAAGTCATCATGTCTGAATTTAATATCAGCTAAGTGGTTTGGTGAGGGAGGACAGCTGGCTCAGCCTCCCTCTCCTTCCTTCTCTTTCTTTGACAAGATAAAACCCAGAAAGGTATGTTTTATAATCTCCCTCTGTATCCTGCCTCTGTCCTCCCTCTTTCCTCCACAGTCTAATCTTACACTGAGTTACATCATGTGTGTTGTGGTGAAGTTTCTGGAGAAGCAGGATGTTCTGTCACTCTGCTCTTCCTCTGTGGTTCTGACCCGTGAGGTCGCTCGCTGAGGCTGGTTTCTATTTTAAACCTCTGCTGTCATCTTTGAAGCAATAAAATAGACCTGTGTGCCACGTGCAGCATCACTACCATCCGCCTCTTCCTCACCTCCTCTGGCTAACCAATTACGACTCTGCCAGCTATCAGATAAATGCTGATGCTCTAATGTAAAGACTTATTGTCCTGTATGGGCATAGAGTTTTGTTCAAGGGCATTTTGACCACTGTGTCATTGATCTGGGACTTTATAATTAGCCGTTTGAAAAGGTGAACATCTCTCATCTCTGAAGGCAGAAGTGGAACTGGTTGTGTTAAACCTAAATGAGGAGAACCACTGCAGCCCAGTCATATAACAAGATAATCAATGCTGTGTTTATGAATCAATAAATGATTTACTTAAAGCTGCGCTAATTCTTTTATATGAACATTTGATCATGTTGCACTAATGTGAGAAGTGTTACTTACAGATGCAGTAGTAACCTTTAGCTCTGCTGAGCATTTTAGCATCTTTTATCTCCTTGTTTTGGTTTTACACATTAACAGCTTTACTGTTATTGAGTCAGTCTTTGTTTCCAGCATCTGTTTTCAGCAAAAAATCTCTGATAAACAGTACGCAACAAACAGCAGACATACAAAGTTAGCAGCAAAGAATTAGCAAGAAATGTAACTCAGGGGTTGGTGGTGACTAAAACAGAGTTAAAAGGGAGCATATATTTTACTTAATTAGACAGGACAACAGAAACATGACCTCATATGTCTGGATGTGTAAATAGGCAACTGTTTGTTAATGCATTTATCATAAACTTTGGTTTGTCCATTCTGGGCTACTGTAGAAACATGTCAGCTCAACATTGCAGCCTCCATAGAAGCCGGCCCGCAATGCAGCAGCCCCAAATAAAAACAACAAATTTTAGGATAACGAAAACACAACAATTCTTATTTTCAGGTGATTAGACTGTACGCTGACCTACTGAACATACCTACTGTATGAATTTATCCAATTTCTGCCAATAGATCCTCCAAAATTGCACACTGCACCTTTAATGTGTCATTTGTCATTCCCATTTGTACTCCAGAAAATATTTTTGAAAATTACCTTTAGCTATAACATATAATATAACAAGACTATGGTTTCTATAATGAAACCTCCCCCACACCCGTCATCAAATCCCCCACACATTTTTCCCTCCTCTTCTAACTAAGCAAGAAAATATAATAAAAGTGTGAGGGATGAAATGTTGGTATGAAAAGAAGTAAAAAAAATAAATAAAAAAAGACTGAATCAATAAAAAACACAACATCTCCTTCAATCAAAAGATGAAAATAACAATAGTGAAGAGGAGAGATGTTTTTCCTTTGCCAGCAAATGTCAGTTTCATTATGCCCAAACAATCGCAGTTTAGACCTTTCAGTGAAGCAGGGTTTAATTTTTCTTTGCTGTTTCCACATTGATTTAGGATTTAGACAGCCAGTGCAAGGGCAACCGTCTCATCAGCCTTTCTAAACCACTCAGCTGCTTTAATGAAATCTTTGCACAAAAAGATGTAGACAGACACACACAAAGCTGGACCTGAAAGATTCATGTCCTTCAGAAATCATTGTTATTTCATAGCTACTCCAGCTCAGACTCAAGAAACTGCAGCTGAACAGCATACAGTGTGTTAACATGCTATGTATGTTAGCATGCTATGGTAGGATGCTAAGTGCATGTATGGGTGTTTGTACACTGACACTTGACCCAGTAAGCCTACAGCATTTCCTCAGAATCTATTCAAAGAGCGCCTTCTTTGATGTAGCACCAGACCATTGCGCTCCTGAATCCAATCTTAATACTTAATACATACACACACACACACACCACACACACACTTAACTACACACTCTTAAACACCAATCAGATAGCAACCTGTAACATTTGTCATGGTGAGGTCAAGTCTGATTGCAAAGAGAGACAGATACAGAACATCAATAGTCACTACCAGCAGGAGTGTGCGTCTGGCTTAATATGCAGAGTTTCTGTATGTGTGTGTGTGTGACCAAAGAGATTATAGATTTGTCCTAATTAGACCAAATTAGATATCTCTGGTCCTGTTAATGCCTCTCATCACCATGGTTGAGCAACTCTTGCTCTAAATCCTCCTGCTCTTTTATGGTGCTAAAAGTGATAAAAAGAAAAAGAGGCATTACTGTTAATTACCAGAAAAGCTGCAGTAGGTTAGGTTTTCAGTGAATTAAGGACTCCAGGGGAATTCAAACTGAGAGGAAATATTACATCTGAACTAGTTTGTGTAAATGCATTACTTCATGTGTGAAGTCCTACTAGCTAGTTTCAAACTAGTGATCTACTAATTTGGATTGCACCAATAAAACGTATAATATAGCTTATAAAGACCTTATTGGTTGCCAGGAAACGTTTGTAACACTGTTCAACCAAAGTTTTAGGTGACCTATACAGATATATTAAACTTAACTGCCAATCCTCTGTAAATGTGAGTATTATATGGAGAAATATGTGTTTTAGTTTAGTTGTATTTTGGAATGAGTGGAAAATATCTGAGATACTTTGAGATTTTGGTGTTGTGTTTGTGAATTTTAATTTAAAATCATAATCAGTTTGCATTATAATTTAACAGTAGATATGGTCATAATTCATAGTATCTCTGTTACTCTATATTATATATTATAAAATACTCTGTCCTCTCTCTGTGAGGTCAAGTCAATCTGATTCAGTGAGACAGGTACAGAAATCAAATTACTAACAGCTGAGTGTGTGTGTTTGCCTAGTATGCAGAGATGGTGTGTGTGTGTGTGTAGTATCTACATATAACTAGACTAAGGTTGAACTTCACTGAATATAAATCATATAAATCCTGGTCTCTGAAATGCACCATAAAATAGATTGTGAACCAGACCTGGAGCTTCAAGTACTAAGTATGCACAATACTCCTCTGAAGCACACTTCGAAAGATCAATCCACAGAGGGAAATTAGGGAATGAGGAGAGGAAAGTTTTCAAAGTGACACTGCAGAAGTGGAGGAGGAAGTAGATAGATGGCCGTAGGGAGGAGGAGGTGGCAGTCACACAGCCTGACAGTAATGGAAGGAGGTGTGGAGAGGGATGACATTGTGCCATGTTGACATATGAAGTAGAGGTAAGGCAGACTGCAATGAGAAAGATGAGCAGGGGAAAAGTTATTGGGGGCGCAGTGAGATTAGTCTGCAAATGGTTGGTGTGTGTGGGTAAGCAGACAGTTGTCTAGGTGGATATCTGAGGGTCATTTTCTGATAATGAAACGACGGCAAAAGAATGGAATGAGGAGGCTGAAGACGTTGATGAATTGAGACTTAAACCTGATGACTGCAGTAGAATACAAGA